TTCCTTCGGGAATCTCAGTCTCCCAGAGTCCAGGCTGTTCCCCCGTGCTTCTCTCCTGAGCACAGGAAGCAATCCCGAACGGACGATGTGTTTTCCTCTGCAGGTGGGAGGGGACACCAGGTCCATAAATCCTGGCCAACCTCCATCACTGAAGCTGACAGCAGCCTGGATTCAAGCACAGGTAGACACCAAAACCAGCCTAGGGCAGGGAGTCCTTCCCCTCCAACACCATCAGCCTAAAACCAGAGCATCAGGGTTAGGCGGGACCCGACACTTTTATCTGCTTCATAATAACACTGTGTTGTAAATAACTGCTCTGATCCCAGTCTCCAACAGGCTGGGATGGGATGGGATGGGATGGGCTGGGATGGGATGGGATGGGATGGGATGAGGGACCACTGAACCTTCACACTCTCCTGTCTGCAGCCTGCTCCCCTGCACAGCCCCTGCCGGCTCCTGGTGTCCCCTTTCCTGCAGGGATCACTGTGGGAATCAGCCACTCACCGGCTCATGGGTTTTCTTTTGCCAGGGGAGTTCAGCCACAAGCTCCAGAGGTTGTCTTCCAACGGCACCGTGTCCTCCAGTGAAGAGCTGGAGGAGAAGGATGAGAACACGGCCTCCTTTGAGCAGGGTATGTGACCGTGCAGGGTCCTGCTGAGCACCCACAGGCAAAGCCAGCTGTGGGCTGACTTCTCCCCCATTCAGTAGTTCTGGAGGTGAAGTGAGGGTATGTGATGGTGGCCCCATGAGGAGCCCAATAGCGCTGCCTTTTGCAGAAGAGAAGGCTCCTTAAGGGGAGACCTTAGAGCAGCTCCAGTGCCTAAAGGGGCTCCAGGAAACCTGGAGAGGGGCTTTGGACAAGGGATGGAGGGACAGGACAAGGGAACTGGCTTTAACCTGCCAGAGGGGAGATTGAGATGAGCTCTTGGGCAGAAGCTCTTCCCTGTGAGGGTGCGGAGGCGCTGGCACAGGGTGCCCAGAGAAGCTGTGGCTGCCCCATCCCGGGCAGTGTTCAAGGCCAGGTTGGACGCAGGGGCTTGGAGCACCCTGCTCTAGTGGAAGGTGTCCCTGCCCGTGGAGGGGTTGGAGCTGGAGGAGCTTCAAGGTCCCTCCAACACAAACCAGGCTGGGATTCTGCCCCAGCTTGGCTCACCCTGCCTCCTCAGGAGCATTTCCTCTCGTTCTGCTCATAGGCATCAATGGGATCACCCCAGAGATGGCGGCTCCGACGGGGCCCTTCCGAAACGTTGGCTTATCCAAGGCTGCCCAGACCCATCGGCTGCGGAAGCTCCGTACCCCTTCCAAGTGTCGGGAGTGCAACAGCTACGTTTACTTCCAGGGAGCAGAATGTGAGGAGGTAAAGCTGGAGAAGTGGGAAGAAGTGGTGGAACAGATGGAGGATATCCCAGGAGTGGGGTGTCCTCACCATGACCTGTGCATGGTCCTGTGATCCACTTCCTTAGCCCAGCTCTATCCTGTGTTCAGGAAGATGTTCCTCCTTTGGGGGTTCCCATGTGCTTTGCATTGGTCCTGCAGTGTCTCCACAAAGGCATTTTCCTCTCTGCCATCGTGCTCCAGGAGCTCCTCAGTCTGGGCAATGCCTGGGGGCCCCCCTGCCTGGCCCGTGGTGCTGTTTCCCACCTCCATGCCTTTTCCCATGTCTTCCAGTGCTACCTGGCCTGCCACAAGAAGTGTCTGGAATCCTTGGCCATCCAGTGCGGGCACAAGAAGCTCCAAGGGAAGCTGCAGCTCTTTGGGCAAGACTTCACAAAGGCTTCTCAGAGCAGCTCTGATGGCATCCCCTTCATCATCAAGAAGTGCATCACCGAGATTGAGAAGCGGGCACTGAAAACCAAGGTGACACACTCCCTCTTCCCTATTCTGCTCAGCTGCTTTCCCTTGGAACCCCCTTCACTTGACACGAAAACCAACAGACTGTCTGCAGGAGACAGGAACCCAGAAAGTCCCAGCTAATGAACTTGGCCCAAACTCTCATCTTGGAAACTCACTTCTCTTGCTTCCCTCTTTCGTATGACAATAATGACCAGAATGACTTCTGAGGGGGATTTCCAGCCCCAAAAGGAGAGGGTGGGAGGCAGAAGATCAGTGTCTCATGCAAATGTAAAGAGAAACATCTCCCCTCACTTCAACCCCGCTTTTCTCCCTTTCACAGGGCATCTACCGAGTTAACGGCGTCAAGACCCGTGTGGAGAAGCTCTGCCAGGCGTTTGAGAACGGGAAGGAGCTGGTGGAGCTGTCCCAGGCCTCCCCTCACGATATCAGCAACGTCTTGAAGCTCTACCTGAGGCAGGTACGGTGCTGGTGACACCTTCTGCTGGGGGAGGCAGGGGAGAGGTGGCCAGAACCGCTTCACGTGGCTCCAGCACCGCTGCAGCATCGGCACCCCCGGAGAACCAGGAGCAGAGGCCCCGAATCCTCCCTCCCCTCCACAACAGGGAACTGGGTGCATGAAATGGGAAGTGACCCACAAAGAGCCGGGCTGAGCCCATGTGCCCCCGAGCAGGAGCAGGGCTGAGCCCGCCCATCACCCTGGGGTGGGCTCTGATGGGTGCTGAGCCCCTCGCGCTGCTCCAGCAGCTCTGCCGCCTCTCAGCATGGTCACCCACATCCTCCACCAGCCGCAGGGAGGAAGCAGCTTCCTCACCCCACAGCTTTGCTGCTTAACCCCTCCATGCTGCCTGTCTCTGGGCTGCTGCAGCACTGCACAAGGGCTCTGGTGTGTGGAGCTCGGCTCAGGAGGCTGGTCCCTGTGTTCCTGGGCTTGGAATTGCTGCTGTGGTTTCTGCAGGGAGGAAAACCAGGGTGGAAAGAGAGGAAGAGCCACGATTCAAGCTCTCGCTGCAGAGAAACAGGGCTCAAAGTCCCTCTGTGAAGTGCAGGGCTGGAGGGGACCTGCTCCGGGGCAGCCTGACCCCAAACCCATCCGCTTCCAGCACCCGGAAAGCCCCTCCAGCCACCCAGCACCACCCATTAGTGCGGTGCTGCTCTGTGCAGCCATCAAAGCAAGAGCTGCCACCCTGTGCATCCCCACTTTTGCTGCAGACTGTGCCCTCATCCTGCCTTCTCCACCCAGAACAGTCCATTCCTTGTTGATCAAACACTGCTTTTAGTTTGAGCTTCACATGTACCACTTGGCCAGGCCAAGCAAGGCTGATTCCCACGCTCCAGGAGATGGATAACTAACCATGACCTTGTGGGCAGTGTGGTTCGCAACCATGGGGATAGTTCCTTGCTGTAGACAGGCTCCAGGTTTCCTCAGCTCAACAGCACGGGATGTGTCTGGGTCTCACGGGGGACCTGGACCTTCTCCCCTGCTCTCGCTTGCAGCTCCCAGAGCCCATTATGCCCTTCCGCATGTACAACGAGCTGATGGGCCTGGCCAAGGAGAGCTTGCAGGGCGGCGAGGCCAAGGGCAGGAGCGGCAAAGGGGGCCCTGAGCTGGAGGACAAGGGAGCTGACACCGACAAGGTGGTGGTGAACCTGGTGCTGAAGCTGAAGGAGCTGCTGAAGGAGCTGCCCCGGGAGAACATGGCCACGCTGCAGTACCTGCTGCAGCACCTGAGGAGGTGAGAGGCGCGGGTCCAGAGCCCAGGGGTGGGAGGGTAATGTCAGCCTCTCCACTGGTCCCATGGGGACAGCACCCCGGCTCTGGGTGTATGATCCATGGCTACAGGTACTTCTGGGAAGCCCGTGTGTGCCCCGTGTGTGCTGCCAGCCCAGCTTCTCCTCCAACCTCCTCCAACCCGTCCCTCTCCCTGCTTCCTTACCCTCACAATTCCTCCTCCCCAGGATTGTGGAAGTGGAACAGGACAACAAGATGACCTCAAGCAACTTGGGCATCGTCTTTGGGCCAACGCTGATAGCCACGGACGCCCCCATTTCCTTGTCCTCGCTGGTCGATTACCCGCACCAATCGCGCATCATCGAGGAGCTCATCATCTTCTATCCCACCATCTTTGAGAACAAGGAGCCGGCGGCGCTGGGTGACTGCAGCAAACACGCTCCAGAAGGCACAGGGGAGGCAGGGACCTGCTCTGAGCTGGTACGAGCCTGGGGAAGGGAGCACCCTTAGGGGACACCCAGCCTGGAGCAGCCCCTCCACGCACCTGCTGCAGCCTCCTGCCCCGGTGACATTCCCCATCCCCACTGTCCCATATGATGCTATGGGGCCCTCCAACGCCATTGCCCTTCCCTTAAAAACTTGCCTTGCTTCATCACATCCCCC